ATAGTCCCGGAGGTGAATTTCGCCACGATTTATCCTTCTACCTATAGCCTTCCTTTGGCCAATGATGTTCTTTAAATAATTATTTATCCATTTAGGGTCGTTGTTGTCTGATCTGAGTTTTTTGTATGGTATGTTCTGCCTTTGTGCATTAAGTAACTCACTATTTAAATTGTCGTGGAACTCGGCAATCTCAGATCTCGTTATCAGGTCGGTGTCATCTGTCAGGTTTACGGCCAAGCGCGACACCCCCTCTCAACTGCCTCTTTAAACTGTCAAAGTTTGCCCTTCTGAAATCTGGTACTTTGAGTGGAATTTTCCCTTCTACGTCTGCCCTGAAAATCTAACTGGAATCGAATTTCTTTGTGATAAGCTGTTTTTGCAAGTTCGTTCCCTACCTCGACATTGCTAATGAGGTTTTCTCTGTTTGACAAACTAAATCAATATATTATTGCCTTGTGGGTTCGGTTATATGTTGACTTAGGGAAACAGTCCTGGATCGTCTCGAGAAAATCCTCTGATTCTGAGTTACCTGCTGAGATCGGTCAATCTATTTGGCCAAAGTTAAAGTCGCCTACTATACAGACTTTGTTGTGTATGGAAGCCCTGCGCATTTCATCCCAGATAAGTCGCTCATTGACGCTATCAAGATTGGGGGGTCTATATATTACTCCTGTGATTAATTTTTCCCGACCGTCGCTTAATTCTATCCAAATTGTTTCTGTATTCCTCTCAGTTTTTATTTCCTTATTTATTACACACTTCAGATTATCCCTAACATAGATTGCTACTCCGCCTCCTTTCCTGGTCTGCCTATCGGTATGGAACAGTTTGTAACCCGCAATTTGGTATTCGACTGGTAATTCACGTGTGTCTAGGTTGATCCATGTTTCAGTGAATGCAATTATATCGATTTCTTCGGTACATACCAAGGCCTTAATATCGTCCATTTTGTTTCTCATACTTCTACTGTTCGCGTTAACACGGCTGGATATTAATAAAGAGTCTTAGGTTAATTTAAAGTCTTGACAGCAGTAAGGTAGCGAGTGGTTTTGTTACGAACACTACTGATACAAAGAGGAGGTTGAACAGGTTACCACTACACACACTCCCGACCAACACCAACTCAATACTAACGTTACCTGTGGCGGCTGGCGGGAACCTTACCTTACTCTACCTCAGTCCTGTCCCCAGAGAAACTTTAATCACCGATACGATAATTTTCTCGTTAGTTTCATTACGTCAATATACCTAACAAATGACATAGTTACTGGATATATAGAGATATATTCCAGTTAGTAAGATTAACACTATTAACGGGAAATATATTCAGAAAATTATGGTACCAGCGAAGAATGTTTTTCACTCTTTAAATTGAATCGATAACGCGTAATTTCTCGAGTTAAAATTACAGAAGATATATTTACTTCAGAAATAACAAAAAATGAATAATATATATAAAACTAGTTATCATTTTAGTAATTTCTGGGTCATCTTCTCACCTCTGAAGCCTGTTTAGTCCTGGTAACGATAGTGATATTCGTATCACCTTAAAAATGCCATTAGTCACAGCTAGAATTACCACAGTGCTTACAAAATAATTAATGTACTTAAAGTTATTGCAGCGTTGTCATTTACCACATGATAAATTGCTTTACTGTTTATTGAAATCTTTACAGGGTTATAGCCGACCCACCTGGCGCACTCATGGTTCATATGCCAGTTATAGTTATTATAATTTTTACACTGGATTATAGGTGAAGATTTTTTCCTATTTTTTTCCTATTTTCCCCATGCCTTTTATGTTAGACTGATTAAAGAAAAAAACCCTGAAGATTAACCTCTCTCCTCCGCAACGTTATTTCACCTGATGATTAAATACCTTACTTTACCTGAAGGTTTGGTTAGGTTATGTTAAGTTAGGATAGCTTAGGCTAGGTTAACGCTTGAGTGGTTAAGCTTAAGGTAAAATAAGCCTGAGGGAGGAGGCGCTAATATCCAGGTCATTCATATCTACCCTAAAATTATCTACGTGGACCTGCCGACTCGCTCTTAGTCTTACATGGTATATTACTTGTGTTGGTGAATAATGGAGTACAGTAGTGTGTCCACCACGGCGTCGACAGTTGGTACTACTTTAAGAACAGACTCCCGTGTGGTTGACCTGTGAACGATGTATGTTACTTGATTTCGTGTTACTGTAGATGAAGTATTTTCAGTATTTAGGTGTTTTCTTACAATTAGAAAACACGATGCGGATATTTTTCAACTGAAGTTCGTCGGGAAGGTGATTCATAATCATGTGGGTTGGTGGTATTCTCAGTTTCATGCTACACAGTTTTACGCCACACACCCACGTCATTTGCCCACCTCACGCGTCCACGTCACACACCCACTCCGCACACTCCACCACTCAGTCACTCCAGAAATCTCTCTCCGTCTAGCGCTACACATGTATAAATAATAACAGGAGGTGGTTGTGACGTTCTCCCAGAATATAAATGGGAATCTAATTATAATCAATATTACAACCTTTCTGTCACTCAGCAGTCACTGACTGATGTGTCTTGTTCAGAGGACGTTCTGGGGCCACTGTAAACCTTCCGTGACACATAGACTGGCCTCTGTAACACAATGACACATACTGGCCTCTGTTAAGCGTCCGTAACACACCCACATACATAATGACCTCTGTAAACCTCCTGACAGAGGGACACATAGACTAGCCTCTTAACTATAACACAACACAACACTATAATAAGCCTCTTGAGGGATGATGGATATTAACCATTGTATCTCAGTAACTGAAGATAAGAGAATTTATTTAACTGCCTCACTTAACTTACGACGCAGATATGGAGTTAATATCAGCCATATCTGGACCTTGAACCACTGAGAATATCACCAACGACGTCTCTTTCAACTTCCCAATAGAACCAATATACTGAGTGTGTATGTAAGGTGAAGGCAGAGTTAAACACGTCCATCTGTCTCACTTAGGCTAAATCGTTCAATCCGCAGATAATTATGACAATAAATATACCAAAATTGACAGAAGAATTTATTTCATCAAACAGATTCGGGTAATTGATGTTAAGTGATGACTAGTTGCCACCTTCAGCCAGCGTCATCAATCATGGTGGTAAACATGTTATGATTTAAGGTGTCGTCATCAACAAAAAAGTTAAACACTGACACTCTTTGTTTACACATGTCAAACTTAATTTATGCAACAAAAACAATAATAAAATAAAAACAAATATCTTTTCATACACTATTTTTTTTTACTATTGTTAAAGAAAAACACATAATCATACACCAATGTTGAGAAATAATAATAGTAATACACACAAATACAAGAGCATACAACTTATTGAATGGCCAGTCTTGACTTAGTGAAATATAATGGTAAAAACACCTAGGAATCATCTGGTTAATCATTCGTAAAATATTATAACTAACGTGATCAAAAAGTTTCCAAAAATGAAACTATGAAGGACGAAACTTGATCACCTGAGTAGTAGATCAAGACGTCTGATGGGCCCCAGTCTTAGTGGACCCCAGGCCTAATGGATCCCAGTACTAGTAGACCCCAGTACTAGTAAACTCCAGTCCTAATAGACCCCAGTACTAGCGAATCCCAGTATTAATGAACCCCAGTACTAATAGACCCCAGCACTAGCAGACCCCAGTTCTAATAGACCCCAGCACTAGCAGACCCCAGTACTAATAGACCCCAGCACTAGCAGACCCCAGTACTAATAGACCCCAGCACTAGCAGGACCCCAGTAGAGACCCCAGTACTAATAGATACAAAGCAGACCCCAGTACTAATAGACCCCAGCACTATCAGACCCCCAGTACTAATAGACCCCAGCACTAGCAGACCCCAGAACTAATAGACCCCAGCACTAGTAAACCCCAGTTCTAATAGACCCCAGCACTAGCAGACCCCAGTTCTAATAGACCCCAGCACTAGCAGACCCCAGTACTAATAGACCCCAGCACTAGCAGACCCCAGTACTAATAGACCCCAGCACTAGCAAACCCCAGTACTAATAGACCCCAGCACTAGCAGACCCCAGTTCTAATAGACCCCAGTACTAATATTGTACAACCTAATGCAACTGGACCATACCTAACCTCATCAAATTAATTGGCCTGAAACTAAATGCTAAAGTTAATAATTAAGATGAAGATTGGGAGAGAGGGCCAGTAGGGATTGGGGGTCAATTGCCCTAAGCAGCCTAATATTGCAAATTTAACTACTGAACAAGCTAAGGTGTGGTTGTCGGTCATTTTACTGAATGTAATTCGTTCTTGTAAGGGGTGAAAGTTATTTATAAATTAGGTTGGAGGTAATAAGTGTGGTTATTTACAGACTAATAGAACGTAAATTAACACAGAAGGTAATTTGAGTTTCTCATTTACAAACCAACGAGTAAATGAAAATTATGTGGTCATTTACAAAACGAGTTAAGGTAAAGTATTCTCATTTACAAGAGTGTATGTAAGTTGTATGATCACTTACATAATGCCTTAATGTTATGTTGTATTATTTACAGTTTACAAAAAAGGCAGGAAAATAGAAGTAATTAATTATTTTGTCTTTTCTTCCTCTTTCTCTCTATTTTTCTTCTGTTTAATTACGTTCTTTTTTTTTCCTATTAGCGATGTTTCTCACTAATCTAATTCTTGTCTTAGTAATGCTTCTCATCTATTAATGGTTTCTTCTATTATTTAGTATTGTTTCTCATTACTTTATTATCCACCTTCTTATGCCTCTCGTCTCTTGGTAATTCTCAGGTTTGGTTTAGTTTAGTTTGTCCCGTGTTATTATTTCTCACAGGGAAGTTCTCACCCTTCCTTTAGTAATGTTTTTTTTCTTCTGTTTTTCACTTATGCTTTTAGTTGCCCAAGTAGTGTTTCTCTCATGTGTCTCTCAGCATCTCGTTGTCATTAGTAGTGTCTCTCTCAGCATCTCGTCATTAGTAGTGTTTCTCTCAGCATCTCGTTGTCATTAGTAGTGTCTCTCTCAGCATCTCGTTGTCATTAGTAGTGTCTCTCTCAGCATCTCGTCATTAGTAGTGTTTCTCTCAGCATCTCGTTGTCATTAGTAGTGTCTCTCTCAGCATCTCGTCATTAGTAGTGTTTCTCTCAGCATCTCGTTGTCATTAGTAGTGTTTCTCTCAGCATCTCGTTGTCATTAGTAGTGTTTCTCTCAGCATCTCGTTGTCATTAGTAGTGTTTCTCTCAGCATCTCGTTGTCATTAGTAGTGTTTCTCTCAGCATCTCGTCATTAGTAGTGTTTCAGCATCTCGTTGTCATTAGTAGTGTTTCTCTCAGCATCTTGTTGTCATAGTAGTGTTTCTCTCAGCATCTTGTTGTCATTAGTAGTGTTTCCCTCAGCATCTCGTTGCCATAGTAGTGTTTCTCTCAGCATCTCGTTGTCACAGTAGCGTTTCTCAGCTTCTGTCCTTGCCCTTGTGGTATTTCTCTCAGCATCTCGTTGTAACACTAGCCTTTATCTCAGCTGCTCTCTCTCACGTCGTCATAGTAGTGTTTCTCTCTAGTAGTGTTTCTCTCTAGTAGTGTTTCTCTCTAGTAGTGTTTCTCTTCCGGCTGGAGTTTGACGTCCACCTCGCTGGCCTCCCACAGGTGACGAGCTAACTTCTTCTGTCGCGCTAATTCCGTGGTCGGTGTGTCCTACAGTGACAGACGGACGATTTAGTATTATATAAATGGTATATTATTGATTTATAGGTGATTAATGATGAAGAAGTAAAGTATATATGGATAATAATAACAGCAAGAATAAAATGAATAAAAGGTAATTGTCACATATGAAGTCACAGATCTACGACTCAAGACAGTAAGATGATCACCTGTTGTTTCACCAAGTGACTAAGTTTCTCTCACTCTTAGCCCTCCTATTACAATTTTGCAAAAGCTGATTGGTTGTCGAGTGGTGACGTGATCACCTAGCAACCAATAACCAATCAACGTTGTGCGAATTGTAACTTGCTAAGGTCATCAAAGGTGAGTGGAGCTTAGCCAATAGGTCACAATATAGTAGGTGAGGACGTAGTACCAGTACCTTGCAGTCGACGAAGTATTTGCCGGAGACACCTTCAACCTCATCTGACACCGCTAAGTAGATGACAGGCTGTGCTCCCAGGCTGGCATCCTATGGCAGGTGAAGTGATGATAGGATAGATTAGGATTTTTCAGGAACTGATGATGGGATAAGATTTTTATTTTTGTTTTGTCATTTGTGATGAAAGGGAGGGATGGGTACATGTGCTCACCTGAACACTGAAACATATACACACTACCACTTTACTGTCACTCAGAATCGAGTATGACGATTATCCAGCTATGGTAAAATGATATGAGTTATTAAGGATGTCACCTTCGTTGATGAGTTCTGAGGTGACTCGAGGGGCTGATACGGGACCGGCAGGGTCGACCACAGATGTTACACATGTGGAGGGCTACATCTAGTGCCGGGGGGGGTTGGCGTCCTTTCGACGCTGGTGCTTGTCTGCCTTGGTATGCAATCGGGCTAACTCTAAAGTATTGACACCTTCTCGTGTGGTGCTCCTCCAAGCGTTACGGTGTAGAGTGATCGTCTCCCAGGTGAGGGGGTCGATTTGGCACTTTTTCAGGTTTGTCTTAAGACTGTCCTTATAACTTTTCAGTTGCCCGCCAGCGTTACGTTTATTATTCGTTAGGTGACTGTAAAGTAGCTGATTTGGCAGTCTACTGTCGTCCATGCGGGCAAAATGGCCAGTCCAGCGTAGTTGTTCATGGATAATGGTAGCCTCGATGCTCCTACAGTTGGTGTCACCGAGAATACTGACATTTGTTCTCCCGTCTTCCCAGTGAACTCGGAGGATGGAGCGTAGACTACGTTGGTGAATTGTTTCAAGTGCCTTGAGGTGCCTCCTGTATGTGACCCATGTCTTGCTGTCATATAGCAGGGTGGGGATGACCACTGCTCGATATAGGTGCAACTTTGTCGATAATTTCAGCTCCCTACAGCTGAAGACACGGATACGGAGTCTGCCAAAAGCTTGAGATGCACATCTGATCTGATGTTGAATCTCTTCATCGATATCTGCAGTGGTGGACAGGTGGGAGCAGAGATACCGAAAGTGAGTAACATTAGAGAGGATAATACCGTTAAGCTGGATGGGTGGTGGAGTTGTGGCTGAACCTGGGGCAGGCTGTAAGGGAATCTGAGTCTTACATACATTCACCTCAAGGCCGAAGTGTGCATACGTATTCTGCGTAGGTGTTCAGGATCTCCTGTAGGTCGCGATCAGTGTGAGCGACGAGGGTGAGGTCATCTGCATACTGAATTTCAGTGACGGAAGCGGCTGACACCTTTATTCCTGCCTGGAGTCGTTTTATATTGAAAAGTACCTTCATCCGGTACCAACCTGCTATCTCCTCCTCGTTGCCGCAACTACCGACGCACACTCCATCACAATCACACTAAAAGGTATATCCATCAATACAGTCAATGTCTATGAGTCTCTCTGTCACGTTTTGTCCCAAGCAGATGGATTGTCCGCACACTCATCCTCTTATCACCATATGTAACCTGCTGACAAAATCCATGGCCATTCAGGCACTTGGGTTCTTAATGCATGAACTCCGCAAGGGGTGCCCAGTAAAGTAGCCCTCTCGCAAGGTAAATGTGAATCTAAAATCTCTCTCACTCACCTTGCCCATCACCAAGAACAGCTTCCCACACACCCAGGCGAAGAGGGTCACCTTGCCCTTGTAGAAGATCTCAGTGTGGACGCAGCCGGGGTGTATACTGTTAGCCGTCACACCTGTCAAGAGAAGGTACAGGTGTTAGAGGGACATTTGTACAACAGGTGTATAGGTAGTGTTTGTAGGGCAGGTGTGTGGTGTTGATGTCTATCACGTGTACCAGTATAGATAAAAATTTCAGAACACGTATTATAGAGTGACTAGATAGTACAGTGAGCATATATAGCAGGTGTATAGTTAGTTTTATAACAAAGCATATTACAAATGTGCCGCAATTCATTATATATTATACATATTTTGTAGAGCAGGTATTATAGAGAGCGTGCAGAGTACCATCCTTCCTTACCCCCTCATCATCCTACCTCCTCCTCACCACCCTACCTCCTCCTCATCACCCTACCTCCTCCTCACCACCCTACCTCCTCCTCACCACCCTACCTGTGCCCTCCAGTTTGACGGTCAGCTCGATGGTAAACAAAATATTACACAGTTTGGTCTGGCCATAAGCCGTCATGGAGCTGTAGTACTCCCGCTCGAAGTTCAGGCTGTCGGGGTTAAGTTTGTTGACATAGTCGTGGCTGTCAGAGGTGAGGTTGATGAATGCACTCGGGGGCGCTCTTCTTCAGAAGTCCTGTAGGAGAGGCAGAAAGGTGTAGTAGTAGTAGACATAGTAGTAAGTGGTGGATCATGGAAGAGTTATTGTTCTGTGTCATACGTGATTAATTATTCTCTTATTATTACTTGTTAAAATTATTATTATTATTATTATTTTTATTATTATTATTATTAATTACGTTGGTTATTATTATTATTATTATTAGTCATATAATTATTAATTAACTATTAAATTCGTATCATCATCACAATCATCATCATCAAAACTTTTTCAACTTGTTAACGAATAAAGGTGAAAAACGAGAGTGAGACACGGAGGTAAAGGATGAAGGGAGACATTTAGCCAGGGTAGGGGTGGGGAGAGACTGAGGGAGGTGGGGTGAGGAGAGACCTAGCCAGGGTAGGGGTGAGGAGACCTGGCAGGGGTAAGGGGTGGGGAGACTAGCCAGGGGTAGGGGTGAGGGGAGACCTAGCCAGTGGGGTGAGGGGGTACAGCATGGGGTGGGGTGGGGGAGAGACCTAGCCAGAGGTAGGGGTGAGGGAGAGACCTAGCCAGGTGAGGGTGAGAGACCAGGAGTGGGGTGAGGAACCTAGCCAGGGTAGGGGTGAGGGGGGAGGTGAGAGACCAGCCAGGTGGGGGTGAGGGGAGACCCTGTGGGGTGGGGTGGGGAGACCTAGCCAGGGTGGGGGTGGGGGGAGACCTGGCCGGGGTGGGGTGGGGAGAGACCTAGCCAGGGGGGTGGGGGAGACCCTGAGGGGTGGGGTGGGGGAGAGACCTGGCCAGGGTAGGGGTGAGGGAGACCCAGGCAGGGGTGGGGTGAGGCCTAGCCAGGAGGGTGGGGGTGAGGGGAGACCCTAGCCAGGGTGGGGTGAGGGGGAGAGACCTAGCCAGGGTGGGGGTGGGGAGACCTAGCCAGGGTAGGGGTGAGGGAGGACTGTGGGGTGGGGTGGGGGGAGAGACCTAGCCAGGGTGTGAGGGGGCTAGCCTGGGTGGGGGTGGGGGAGAGACCCTAGCCAGGTGTGGTGGGGGAGAGACCTAGCCAGGGGTGGGGGTGGGGGGAGACCTAGCCAGGGTGGGGGTGAGGGGGAGACCTAGCCAGGGTGGGGGTGGGGAGAGACCTAGCCAGGAGTGAGGGGGAGAGACCTAGCCAGGGGTGGGGGTGAGGGGAGAGCCTGGCCAGGGTGGGGTGGGGGAGGGACCTAGCCAGGGTGGGGTGGGGAGAGAGACCTAGCCAGGGGTAGGGGTGGGGAGAGAGACCTAGCAGGAGGGTGGGGGTGAGGAGAGACCTAGCCAGGGGTGGGGGTGGGGGAGAGACCTAGCCAGGGGTGGGGGTGAGAGAGAGCTAAGGGGTGGGGTGGGGGAGAGCTAGCCAGGGGTGGGGTGGGGACACCAGGTTGGGGTGGGGAGGCTAGCCAGGTGGGGTGGGGAAAACCTAGCCAGGGTGGGGTGGGGGAGAGACCCTAAGGGTAGGGGAGTGAGGGGAGACCTAGCCAGGGTAGGGGTGGGGAAGACCTAACCAGTGGGGTGAGAGGAGAAATAGCCAGGAGGTGAGGGGTGAGGGGAGAGAGCTAAGGAGGAGGGTAGGGGTGAGAGAGAAGCCAGAATGGGGGTGGGGGAGAGAGAGAGCTAGCCAGGGTAGGGGTGAGGGAGAGATCTAACCAGGGTGGGGTGAGGGAGAGAGCTAGCCAGGGGTGAGGGGTGAGAGAGAGCCAGGGTGGGAGGTGAGGCCTAGCCAGGGTAGGGGTGGGGAAAGAGCTAGCAGGTGGGAGGTGAGGGAGAGCTAGCCAGGGTAGGGGTGGGGGAGAGAGAATGTGGGGTGGGGGTGAGGGGAGAGCTAAGCTGGGGTAGGGTGGGGAGACCTAACCAGGTGGGGGGTGGGGAGAGACCTAGCCAGGGTAGGGGTGAGGGAGACCTAGCCAGGGTGTGGGGGTGAGGAGAGACCTAGCCAGGGTGGGGGTGGGGAGGAGACCTGGCCAGGGTGGGGTGGGGAGACCTGGGGTGAGGGGGTGAGGAGACCTGGCCAGGGTGGGGTGAGGGAGAGACCTGGCAGGGTGGGAGGTGAGACCTAGCCAGGGTGGGAGTGAGGGAGACCTAGCCAGGGTGGGGTGAGGAGACCCTGGCCAGGAGTGGGGGTGGGGGAGACCTAGCCAGGGTGGGGGTGGGGGAGGGAGCCTAGCCAGGGTATGGGCAGGGGGAGACCTAGCCAGGGTGGGGTGAGGGAGAGCTAGCCAGGGTGGGGGTGGGGAGACCTAGCCAGGGGTGGGGGTGAGAGACCCTAGCCAGGGTGGGGTGGGGGGAGAGACCTGGCCAGGTTATGGGCGAGACTAGCCAGGGGTAGGGGTGAGGAGACCCTGGCAGGGTAGGGGTGAGGGAGACCTAGCCAGGGTGGGGGTGGGGGGAGACCTAGCCAGGGTAGGGGTGGGGGAGACCTGTGGGGTGGGGGTGGGGAGACCCTAGCCAGGGTGGGGGTGAGGGAGAGCTAGCCAGGTGGGGAGACCTAACCAGGGTGGGGGTGGGGAGACCTGGGTGGGGTAGGGGAGAGGCCTAAGCCAGGGTGGGGGTGAGAGGAGAGGCAGAGGGTGGGGTGGGGGAGAGAGCTAGCCAGAGGGGTGGGGAGAGCTAGCCAGGGGTGGGGTGGGGGGAGAGAGCTAGCCAGGGGTAGGGTGAGGGAGATCTAACCAGGTGGGGGTGAGAGAGTGGGGTGGGAGTGAGACCTAGCCAGGGTAGGGGTGAGAGGAGAGAGCTAGCCAGGGTGGGGTGAGGAGAACTAGCCAGGGTAGGGGGTGGGGAGAGATCTAACCAGGGTGAGGGGTGAGAGGAGAGCTAGCCAGGTGAGGGAGAGACCTAGCCAGGAGGTAGGGGTGAGAGCTAGCCAGGAGGTAGGGTGAAAGCTGGCAGTGAGTGAGAACACTTACCAGTGTGGTCAGGAGGAAGTGGCCAGTGGTTGGTGGCCATGGTCAGCTCCACCCCGTCTTTGGTGACCTCTCTGGTGGGCGGCCCCATGATGCCTGCGTTGTTGATCTGACGAAGGTGGTGACGGTGTGTTAGTTGGTGGTGTGGTGTGGTGTGTGTGTGGGGGGTATACGTGTGTATGTGTGTGTTTTGTGAATCCATATGTATGTATGTGTGTGTGTGTGTGTGTGTGTTTGTGTGGGATATGAATGTGTGTTTTTTTGTCTGTGTGTGTGTGTCTCATCCTATCTTATTTCCTGAAACATCAAATAAACCTAACCTAACCTAACACACATCAACACTCTTAAAACTAACATCATCAAATCAACATAATACAATAAATATCTATACAACTCGACGTCTTAAAGTGAATTTGAACAAGTATACCATCAAAGCTTACCAGTATGTGGAGTTCTTTCTCGTTTTCTATGATCTTCTGGGCGAACTCTCTGACGGAGGCCAAGTCGGAGGTGTCCAGACGTCTCACTAACACGTCCCCACGGTAATTTGTCGCCACCCGGATTTCAGCTAAACCCCGGAAGTTATTGGTGGTATTGATTATCCACGAATTTTATGTAATTTCTAAAACTGTGTCATGATTATTGATGGATATTCAAGCACATGTTATTAAATAGTTCATTGACACGATGATGATATTAAATTAATGATATAATCTGTTGTTACTTTATATTACCAGGTTATTATAGGTTTCTTGATAATTTCTACCTCCCCTTCCTTCTTCCTCTCTCCTTCTCTCTCCGTCTCTCCCCCACTCTTTCTC